GTCTAAGCCCGAAACGTCAGCCTTCCTACTCCTCTGATGCTGCTTGGCCTGCTGTGTTCATCCAGCTCTACACCTTGTTACCTTACATTTATGGTTTGGATATGACCTGAAGCATTGGTAGCAATGAACTTCTTTTGAGGTGTAGGAAATATAACAGTATTAGGAAATACAGAAGCCAAGTCAAGACACAAAGACTTCATAAACAGCTTGTGTTAATGACCTAATAACCTGCTTAAATTATGTTGGCTGAAGATGACAAACATACAAACAAATGAATTACGAGCACAAGTATACCATTTGGCTGTCACATACGCTGTCACTCAATAAATCATAGTTGATCTGATTGTTGCCTCAACACATTTCTGCCTACTCCAAATAACATTTGATCCCCTTGTTAGTAAGAATCCATCTACCTTGTTTTGGAAGATAGCTACTGGCCAAGACACAGTGCACAGGATGATAGGACTTAGCAGGAGTAGGCCATTTGACCCGACAAGCTTGCTCCAACATTCAATACGATTATGACTGTTTGGTTGTGGTCTCAGCTCCAGTTTCCTGTGTGGACCAGACAACCCTTGACAGGACTGGATGCAGCAACGATATTCCCGTCTTTGAATCATGACTCTCTGTCTCAGGATATGAAGTAAGCCATTTAGAACTGAGATTAGAAGAGATTTCTTTATTAGAGAGTGATAAATCTTCAGAATTCTCCACAACTGGCTGTTGAGGCCAAATCACTGAATACATTTAAGAAAGAAGTACATGGTATCTTTATTGTTTAGAAATCTAAGGGGTATCAGCATAAGCATGATAATGAGACAGAAGATCGGTCATGACCAGAGCGAATGGGGGAGCAGGCTCAATGTTTCTGTGTGCTTGTGCTCTCAAAGCTACCTCAATCAGAGTCACATCTTCCTGTCCGTGACTACTGACTAAACCAGGAGAACTATTCCTACAGGCTGGGACTACCTTTTGGAGTTAATTGTCCAAATAATTTTCCCCCACCCTGATGCACCATAGTTTCTGCAGTTCAACCTCCAGCTCAAACTCTAAGCCAAAACTCCTTGAGCTTCAGGCACAAAAGATGTGTTTACCCTGGATTAGCCACATCATACCGTCTCAAAATATCACTTGCCTGTCAATTTTATTGTGTCTTAATTAATTTATTTTATTAATTTTTCATTAATAAAGCCCTATTACTCCTAAAAAGCTTTGTTACAACCGTTAGACTTTACTAATGGCAATTAAACTTTGTAATTTATAATAAACTTCCTCAACTTGAAAAGGCATGAGAGAACAAAGTACTCACCAATCACCTACCAATTTTCCTGTGATATCACTTCTTATTTTTCGCTGAATGGAGGTGTCACAGAGATGACAGTGTTACAGAAACCAGATTAGACCAGTTACATAATTAACTAATTTTACCTGCTCTCTAGCTGAGAACATGCTTATCCCTACACAAATCTGAAGTGACTTCACAGGACTGTTACGGTAGAGAAAGATGCCATTCGGCTCATCATGCTTGCAACAGTTTTGTTATCTAATACTAATCTCCTGCCTCCTCCCCATATCCCTGCACACCATTTCTATCCAAATAATCATCCAATGTCCTCCTGAATGCTTAAATTTAACCTGCTTTCACCACTTTTCAAGGCCACGCCTGCCATGCCCTAACTACTCACTGTGTGCAAAAGCTTTTCCCTCACATTACCCTTGCTTTATTCGCACATCAGTTTAAACACTCACCCTCTCATTCTGTTTTCTTTAACAAAGAGGAATAACTTTTCCCTATCTACTCTGGCTTTTGAAAATTTCTATCAAAACTCTCCTCAGGCTTCTTCTCTCCAAGGAGAACAGTTTTAACTTTTTCAGCCTATCCTCATGTTATCCTTAAATAGTATGTTTCAGTTAAATGCTAACTGCAAACAAAACTAGATTTTTTTGGACAAAAAGAGATTAACGCTCAAGATACATTCCCTTATTCACAAACCCCTTTACGCACTCATTGCAAGCTTCATTTTTTGGGAACAGTGATATTTTATCTATTGCTTCCACCAAAGGAAGCAGCTAGACCTTTGGTTTATCAGCTCAAACATTTCACTCAAATAATACCTTCAACCTTGGAGTGTTCACTTAATACTATACTTGGGTATCAGACTGAATTACGTGCTTAAAAACTTGCAATGTCTTCAAAAGCTTTCGTCCCAAAAATGACAGCGCTATGCTGAGTCCTGGCCGATGGTTGAGGGATCATTTCATTGCAAAGGACTCCTTTGTCTGTGATGTGCTGCTTACTACAAACACATCCAACAAATTAAGTATTTTTACAAAACCAACATATTGCAAGCCAGGTATAATTCACATTTCAATGTAAATTCTAGCATTTTAGTAAAAATAAAAATAAGTTTGCAGTGCAACTAAAAGACAGCAAACCTTCCACTCACATGAAATCTTCATCTTTTGTTGTCCGTATTCTAACATATGCATCAATAACAGCAGCCTTCCTGACAGTTTCACATCTTACATACTCCTTTCCATCTTCATCTCGGAACGTACGATAAATCTTAAGGCGTCGTCCTGTTGCTGAGGAGTTAAGACTGGTAACGGAGGCAGTGTCATCATCTTTGTGAAACACTCCAGGAGTAGGAGTGCTGCAAGCTGGAAGATTTTTTTTTTTTAAATGTCAGATTGTTTAATCTCAAATCTTACAGCCATATAGTGTTTAATGTAAATATGGAGGAAACAGATCAAAGTGCACAAGCAGCCTAGACATTTTGTTTCAAATGAGATCTGAGTGCCAATCCAGCTCAGACTAATATGATAAAAGTCTATTCTTCCTCTGGCTGTCAGGGTCCTACGTAAATATGGGCACAGCACTAAAATTGTACCTACTTTAATTGTAGACCATGTCTCATTAAAGAAGGCCGATAGATGGCTGGTGAAAGTATTCAAGAAGTACAATGTTAGAAAAATGTTGAGGCCGTCTTATTGTGTAACTGTCAATATTACGAGTGTCTGGAAACTTTATGTCAACATTGTGGGCCTGAAATAGGAAAGATTCATTCTTTGGCTCTCATGGACACAAGAGTTTAAAAAAAAAACCTCCTTTGAAATAACTATTTTGGGAGTGAGAAGCAGCACAAGTAAGGTATAGTGGTGGTTTAGAATCTGATGTAGTTTGGAGAATCCAGCTGCTGTTCACTCTCATCTGTGCTGCAGAAGATAGGGGTACAATTCCATGCTACTGGCTGGCCTTGTTCCCAATTTTTAAATCTAAAATTAGGCATAACATGTCAGCTACTTAACTATTTTATTGCTGTTAAGCCCAATCTTGTCCTCATCTCAACTTCATGGACATAGCTCCAGCAGAAGTCACTCATCTAGATTTCTGCGATTATACCGACGAATAAATAATGTTATAATGCAATCTACCTTGACCAAGCAATTCAAGGTTTGAACACATTTAATTTCAAAGTATTTTTAACTGGAGAAGTACTCTCGAAATTGCACAATTTTGCTTGTAGTAGCCAATCATTTAATATATTCATTTCCAATGAAAGTAAAATAAAATCAAACACAAACTGCTTTGAAATGAAGCTCCCCAATTACTATAGTTTGTAAAGACAGGGAATAGCTGTGTAACACAGATAAGAATGTCTCAAACGTGATCAAAATTTCTACTGAATTAGATGAATTCAATCAGAACGGAAACAAAATTTTGATGTTATGCTTGAGGTCAGATCTTGTTTTGTCTCTATGATAGTAGAGACTCCCGATCCTGATCACAATCTTATGACCTCAGCCATATGGATGCCAGGTACAGGTAAGTGTGATCCTGGCTTTGATGCATTCCAATACTCAACGTCCATGCCAAGACATGAAGATAACAAGAATCATAGGTACATTGAGACCCATGAAATTGCATCTGTACAAGAGAGAAAGCTGATGGGTGAACCAACAGAACATCATTGATTAAAACTTCAAAAGAAGCTTCATTATCTGCTGTCTTTTCTATTTCTATGATGCACCTTCAACCTCATTACAGTCAACAATATAGTCATTTACAGTTTAACCAATTCCAAAGTACAATACATAGCATTTTGCCCAACAGCAAGCACTTTTATTACACCAAACTTTACTGCAGTAAATGGTTAAAACAAAATTGAGCAATTTTAAAATTTGTATTCTACAGCAAATTAAATCTTAGTTGTAGTAACTTCACAATTGGTTCTCAGTTCTGTTCAACTGTGTCTAATGTTTAACAAATTCAGTGCATATCAGGTAATCATTCTGATTATCACAGTTAGACATTATTGTATGTTTGCAGTCAGGAAACCTATCTCAAACTACCCAGACTCAAATCAATATTTATAATTTGACGCCCTTGAATGTTAATTTGCCATTCTCAGTTTAATCGCTTAAGCTACAACTGACATCCTGTAACAACCACCTTCATCCCTATTTCCTGCAGCACAGAGTTTCAGATGCTCTTCCTGGAGCACCTGCCCACATAAAGCTGCAGCTAAATCTTACTTAACAGCCACTAAAATGATGCCTCTCCTGCAGCAATATTGAGCCAGTGTCACTCACATGAACCTTTCCTGTCTTTCTTCTCCTTTTTGTCACGGTCCTTATCATTCCCAATTTCCTCTCCCATCAACATCCTCTGCAGTTCCTTACGCTCCTGCTCCTCACGCTCACGTGAAAGTTGCGAGCTTGTTTTCTTATTCTGTAACATGTTTTCAATATTTTTTCCCATTTCTTCAAAATCACTGTCTTCTGCTGAACTGCTGTCTGTGTCTGTAGAAAGAACCTCTGTTGAAGACAGGACCCTGAAAGTGAACAAAGGAATTTGGTACTTTCTGTAATTACAATTATCATTTTTTTGAAAAATAAACTTGTCAGCTGCAAATGAAATATTAGATAATGCTTTCATCAACTACCTTGAAATTCAGCTCAGTGATGATACCGACGTGGAAGTTCAGCCCACATTCCTCCTTTGGCTTCAGGAAGAATGTACATCGTAACATATTTCAGATAATGAACTGACTAATCAGTTCTTCCAGTTTAAAAAAAACTGTTGGTGAGATTTTTAAGAGGTATATGCTGATGTCGAACTGCACCATCCTACAGGGCAGAAGTCTACTTCCATTTTACATTAAATATTCAGACATGCAATGGAGCAGCAGTTCATAAAATGGACAAACAACATAATTCTTCATTCAGAATTCTTCACACCTGGAGTTTAGTAAACTTAGTAGCCAATGAAGAAAATTCACATTAACTCAGATCAAAAATGCACGCAGTAGCATCTGATAGAAGCATGCATTTTACTGTCAATGTTTCTTTCAATGCAAGTTGATAAACATCTATCACATCATTGTGTCTGAGGGACCATGCAAAAAGATAGAATGAATTCACACACAGTAAAGTCTCCTAATCTCTGTTTGGAAACAAGATATATTTAAACTTTGTTACTCTACATAATAAATAGCTCAGGTTACTGACAAAGCAATGTAGCATGTTCTTAAAACTAAAACACAAAGCTATATTTGCATTCATAAAGTGGAAGGAAAGTTCTAGCTCAACTTCTAGGCCAATTGCTCTTGAGACAAGTGGTAAGCTGTCTTCTTGAACCACTGCAATCCACGTTTGTAACTGTAGTCCCACAGTAACTGGGACCAAGTTACAGGATAACAGACCAGTGGCAATGAGAGATCGGCAATGTAGCCAGGATAGGGTGTGACATGGAGGCAAACTTGCAGCAGTGATGCTCCCATGCCCCAGCTGCCCTCATCCTTCTAGGTGATAGTGTTGTCTGAAGAGGCTTGCTGAACTCCCACAGTGCATCTTATATATGGGACACACTGGTGCCACAGTGTGCTGGTGGGGAAGAGAGGTAATGTCTAAAATGGTGGAGGAGCTGTCGACAAAACAGACTAGTCTGTCCTGGGTGATGTCTTGAATTGCAGCTTATAGGTGTGGGAAAGAATCTTGAAAGTTAGGTGACTGACTCACTCAACAAAGGAAATTCAACATAGATTTGTTCTCATTGAAACAGCACTTACGTGGCTGCTGCAATGACTCTCCGAATGTTGTTTGTGGGGGATTTGATAATTGCAATGACATTGAATATAAAGAGGTGTTGATCTGATTCTCTCTCATTGCAGATGGCTATCGCCTGACACTTGTGTGGTATATTTGTTACTTACCACTTAGTGGCCCAAGCTTGAAAGTTGTCCAGGTCTAGCTGTATGCTGCCAAGAACCCCATTCTCTGAACTAACAAGGTGTAGAGCAGGATGAACACAGCAGGCCAAGCAGCATCAGAGGAGCAGGAAGGCTGACGTTTCAGGCCTAGCCCCTTCTTCAGAACCTTCTCCTTTCTAAAGAAGGGTCTAGGCCCGAAACGTCAGCCTTCCTGCTGTGTTCATCCAGCTCTACACCTTGTTATCTCAGATTCTCCAGCATCTGCAGTTCCTACTATCTCTGAAACCCATTTTCTGAACAGCAGTTTTATTTGAGCTCCTTTGATGCCAATCAATCCAATGCTAAAATTGATGTCACTGGCAGTGACACTCACCTCACAAATGCAATGCAGCTACTTTTTGTGTGTGCTTGAAGTAGGGTTGCAATTAAGTTGTGAATAGCCTTGGCAGAACTCAAACTGAGCAATGGTGAGCAAATTATTGATAACTAACAGTTGCTTGATCGTACTGTGAAGGATACATTCTATTGCTCTTAATTATTAAATAAAAGTCGACTGACGGGAAGCTAATAGGCCATTTGGATGTGACCTGCTTTCATGTGGACACACAATGTTCCACTCCATTACACAGTGTTATAGGTTGATCTAAAGGCACAGGAAATTGTGGAGCAAAAATCTCCAGCACTACTGCGAAGATGTTGTTAGCATTCATAGCCTTTGCTGTATTCACTGCTCTTAGCTGTTTCTTGATAAAAAGGCAGAGTAATTAATTGAATGAGCTGGAGATAAGCTTCTATGATTGGCATCTTAGGAGGCCTCCAGGACGGATCATACACTTGGCAATTCTGATTATTAAAAGGCAAGCTATTTAGGACTAAGATGAAGAGGAACCCCTTCACTTACGGGATAGTGAATCTTTGGAATTCTCTAACCTGAGGATTTGTGGAAACTTAGTCATTAAGAAAGATCCATGTAGAGATTCATTGATTTCCAGTTACTATGGATACCAAGGGATGAGAATAATGCGGGAATATGGCATTGAGTAGATAATCAACCATAATCTAGAATAGTAGAGCAAGTTTGAGGGTCTTTTTCTTTTTCACTCATTCATGTGATATGGCTGGCCAGAATTTAAAGCCTGTCCCTAGTTGCCCTTGAGAAGGTGGTGGGGAGCTGCCTTCTTGAAACTCTGCAGTCCATGTGCTGTGGATTGACCCACGATGCTATTAGGGAGGGAATTCCAGGATTCTGACCCAGCGACAGTGAGGATCTGAAATATATTTCCAAGTCAGGACGGTGAGTGGCTTGGAGAGGAATTTGTAGGTGTGGTGTTCCCATGTATCTGCTGCTCTTGTCCTTCTAAATGAAAATGGTCGAGGGTTAGAAAGGCGCTTTGGTGAATTTCTGCACTGCATCTTGTCGATAGTGCACACTGCTGCACTAAGCATTGGTGGTGGAAGAAGCGAATGATTGTAGATATGGAACCATTCAAGCAGGTTGCTTTGTCCAAGCTTCTTGAGTGTTGTCGGAGCTGCACCTATTCAGTCAAGGGGGACAGCATTCCATCACACTCCTGACTTATGCCTTATTGAAAATGGATAGGCTCTGGGGAGTTAGGAGGTGAGATACTTACCACAGTAATCCTAGCCTCTGATCTGCTCTTTTTACCATTGTGTTTATGCGGCGAGTCCAGCTGAGTTTCCAATCAATGGTAAACCCAAGGATGTTGCTAGTGGGGGATTCAGTGACGGTAACACCATTGAACATCAAGGGGCAGAGTTTTGATGGTCTCTGACTGCAGATGGTCATTGCCTGGCATTTGTGTGGCACAAATGTTACTTGCCACTTGACAGCCCAAGCCTGGATATTTTCCAGATCTTGTTGCAAATCAACATGGTCTCCTTCAATATCTGAGGAGACACGAATGACTGAATAACATACAATTCTCAGTATACATCCCAACTGCTGATCTTATGATGGAGGGAAGGAGAATAATGAAGCAGCTGAAAATGGTTAGGCATAGATCTGAGGAAATCCTGCAGAGTTGTCCTGGAATTGAGATGACTGATTTCCAACAACCACAACAATCTTCTAACCTGCCAGGTATGACTCCAACCAGTGAAGAGCTTGCCCTGATACCCACTGATTACAGTTTTGCCAGGGTTCCTTCATGCCACACTCAGTCAAATGCGACCTTGATGTCGAGGGCTATTATTCTCACCTCACCTCTGGAATTCAGCTCTTTTGTCCATGTTTGAACCAAGACTGTAAGAAGTCAAGAGCTGAGTGGCTCTGGCAGAACCCAAACTGGGCCTCACTGAGTGGGTTATTGCTGAGCAAGTGCTGCTTTATAGCAGTGTTGATGACACTTTCCATCACTTTACTGGTGATCAAGAGTAGACTGATGGGGCGGGGGCTGAGGGGGGAAGGGGGGGAGGTAGTAATTGGCTGGGTTGCATTTGTCCTTTTTTTTGTATGCAAGACCTACATGGGCAATTTTCCACATTGCTACTGTTCAGGGAGTGGTTTGGCTAGGAGTGTGGCAAGTTCTGGAGCAAAAGTCTTCAGTCCTATTGCCAGAATGTTGTCAGGGACCATAACCTTTGCATTATCCAGCATCTCCAACCATTCTTGATATCATGTGGATTGAATCGAATTGGCGGAAGACTGGTGTCTATACTGCTGGGGACCACTGGAGGGGAGTGAGATTGATCATCCACTCAGCACTTCTGGCTGAAGATTGCTGTGAATGCTTCGACCTTATCTTCTGCACTGATGTGTTGGGCTCTTCCATCATTGAAGATATTTGTGCAGCCTCCTCCAGTGATAATGTCCACATCCATTACTGGATGCAGTAGGACTGCAGAGCTTAGATCCAATCTGTTGATTGTGGGGTCATACAGCTCTATCTATCACTTGTTGCTATGCTGTTAGGCATGCAAGTAATCCGGTTTGGTAGCTTCAACACGTTAAGACCTCATTTTTAGATATGCCTGGTGCTGTTCCTGGCATGCTCTCCTGTATTTTCAATTGAACCATAGTTGATCCCCTGGCTTTGCGTTAATGGTTGAGTGGAGGATATGCTGGGCTATGAGGTCGCAGATTGTGCTGAAGTATTCTGCTGCTGTTTAAGGCTCACAGCACCTCATGGATGCCCAGTCTTGATAGTTGCTAGATCATTGGAACTCTGTCCCATTTACCATAGTGATAATGCTACACAACACAATGGAGGGTATTCTCAATGTGAAGACAGGACTTCGTCCCCAAAAGGATTGTACGGTTGTCACTCTTCCCAATATTTCTATGGACATGATGTTTCTGTAGCTGGCAAAGGGATAAAGATGAAGTCAACTATACTTTTCCCTCGTGTTGGTTCCCTCGCCACCTGCTACAGACCCAATGTAGCAGTTATGTCCTTTCGAACCCGACCAGCTTGATCAGTAGTGCTGCTGCCAAGCCACTCTTGGTAGTGGACATTGAAATCCCCCTCCCAGAGTATATTTTGCACCCATGCCACCCTCAGTGCTCCTTCTAAGTGTTGATCAACATCATGGAGAACTGATTCAGCAGCCAAGGGAGGGCCGTACGAGGTAATCAGCAGGAAGTTTCCTTGCCCATGTTTAACCTGAAACCATGAGACTTCACGGAGTCTGCAGTCAATACTGAGTACTCCCAGAGCCACTCCCTCCCAAATATATACCATGGTGCTGCCACCTTTTCTGGGTCAATCCTGCTGGTGGGACAGGGCATATGCATGGATGGCAATGGTGGTGTCTGGGATATTGTTAGGTATGATTCTGTGGGTATGACTATGTCAGGCTGTTGTCTGACTACCAAGACAATTCTCCCAATTTTGGTACTAGCCCCCAGATGTTAGTAAGGAGGATTTTGCAGGGTCGACAGGGCTGTTTCTGCGGTTGTCATTTGGTGCCTAGGCCAATGCCAGCTGATCTATCTGGCTTCATTTCTTTGTTGAGACTTCATAGTGATGGATACAACTAAATGGTGTGCTAAGCCATTTCAGAGAGCAGCTGAGAGTTAACCACAATGCTGTTGGTCTGCAGTCAAATGCAGATCAAATCAGGTAAACATGAGAGATTTCAGATGGGCTTTTCCGACAATGGTTTCATGGTCATCCCCAGATATCGTTTTGATCGAAATACCTGCTGTGTCAGGATTCGAACCAGAGTCCCCAAAACATTTGCCGAGTTTCTGGATTAATAGTCTAGTGATAATATCACTACACCATTGCCTTTCCTGAATGAATTACTCCTGCTTCTGTGTACAAATGCTTTAGCCTTTTATTTTGCAGTTAGCTGCTGGGCCCTGCTATCAATGAAAATTAGGATATTCATAGCACCTTCTTGTTTAGTTGTTCCCCACGGTTTAACACTGCATGTGCCACCAATACAAAGCTTTGATCCAACTCACTGATTCTGGGATCACATCGTGCAGCTTACAGCATGCCAATTCTACATTTTAGAACTTCTGCATCAGAGCTTCACCATACTGACACCTCAAATTTTAGGAACAGCTGGAGTTGCAGTGTTGCACTTTTCATTTAACCAGGGTTAATCTCCTGACTTTATAGTCATGGTAAATTTGGAGAATATGTCAGACGATGAAGTGACAGATTGATGGAATACTGCTGATAGCCCACAACACCTCATGGACGCCCAATTTTAAGATAGAGGGCTTCCTCAACATCAGGCCAGGCCTTTGACTCATCAATGGTCAATATTGAAATGTCAAGAGAGTCAGACACAGTCAGAACAATTATAATTGGTCAGCACTTCACACTAACATAGATAGATACTGAGTTGACTGAATGAATAATGTTGTTAAAATATATTTTATTATATTAGTTTTAATTCAATTACATTACTATGACCAGTGTGTTAGTTTGGGAGAGTTCCACTAGTGCAGCTTTCTAAGGGATGTAAATTTCTACAAGTACTGTTACAACTCACTTGGAAAAATGCCCTGTTCTCGAACCCTCTACTCTACAGAAGTTGATAATTTAACCAAAGTTCACAAAATGCCTAATTTACATGCCTGATAGAATCAGAATAACAAAATACGCTGTCCAGGCTCCTGTACTTAACAAGAACTACTGGTTATTACAAACAAAGAAATCCAAGTCAGAAGTCACACAAAACCAGGTTATAGTCCAATAGGTTCATTAGGAATTACAAGCTTTTGGAGCCTGACTTCACCTGACAAGGGAGCAGCACTCCAAAAGCTTGTGATTTCAAATGAACCTGATGTGCTTTAACCTGGTGTCGTGTGACTTCTGACTTTGTCCACCCCAGTCCAACACCAGCACCTCCACATCACAGGTAAACAAAATACTGAACTAACATATAGCTCTCCTAAACGAACTCTCATCCCCTTTCAAAACCCTGCATGCAAACACAGATAAACAAAATTACACTGGAGTTATGGATGGAAGGAAATAAAATCACTGGGAAACATTGTTTAAAAGCACCAGTTCTCAGGACTGATAAGATAGTCCTTTTGCTTCCCAATACCTTTTATTCTCTGATGTCTTTCACTTTTTCACAGGAGACACAGGACAATTTGAACACTAATTATGAAGTTTCTTCGTTAATGTTTAAGGCAACAGCTTACAGCAACTGGTAATAGAAAACAGCTGGCTTTCTTCAAGCTTCAGTTACTTTTATTGCTGAGAGACAGAGACACAAAATCTGTTCCTTCATCAATCTGGAGGTACCATTCCCTCTATCATAAACATCCAAGCTGTTCACCCACCCAGGAAACAATGATTCGATTGTTATCAAGCTGATGGCCTCTGACATTGATAACTGGACACAACTGCATAATCAACAATCTGTTGCCGGACAAATCTCACTCTGTGCACACCCCAGTACCATGGTATCTTATCTCTCTTCCCCTCCTCTGGCAAAGCACCAATGTAAACCTGACTCACAATGAGCTCCAGTAACTTGCTTTTACAAGTGTAGCAATTCCTTCCACAGCCGTTGGTTTTAAAAGTTTTTTTCCAAATTTAGTCCACAATCAAAAAAAGAAAAATAAAAAGGTTCAGTCTTTACACTATGCCATTTCAAAAGAGTGACTTTGGTTGACTATGAAATAAAACAATGTGTTTGAGAAACTCAGCAGGTCTGGCAGCATCTGAACAAACAGAAACACAGTTAATGCTTCTAGTCCAATGTGATTCAATTTTTGGAACAAAGAATCTCTTTGGACTCAATTAAAGAAGGACCATAGCAAAATGTTAACTTTGGTTCTCTCCACAGATGCTGCTAAAGGAACATTTCAAGTCCGATTTGACTCTTCGGAAGAGTCCAAAGATGTTTTCATTTTGAAAAGTCATATTGGACTTGGGACTGTCTACTTTGTTTCTCTCCCCAGAGGTGTTGCTAGACGAGCTGAGATTTTTCAGCGCTTTCTGTTCTTTGAGCATCCGTAACACTTTGCTTTTATTCTGGTAGACAGCGATACCAGTGACCCCGTGTTTGATGCAAATTCATAGTGAAGTTATAATCATTGCAAAATCTTACTTGTTCTGAAGATCAAAGATTCGCTGACACTCTTCTTTGTACCTTTCCTGATGTTCAGCAACTGAAAAACGGGAACCACGAGCAAATTTACTCATGGGAGTATCTCCAGACCGGGCCTGTTCTGTTGACATCGTACGTACCACATCAATAACTTCCCATCGAGACAGCTTTTTAATCTGTTATAAATAGAATTTAAAAAATCAAACAGAATACGCCAACTTTAATACCTAAATCTATCAGAATTTTACAATACTGCAAGAACTTAAATGAAACAAATAGAAATTAACAAATAAATCTTAATGATTTGTTTATATTAAAGATCAAAGTCAAGCCTACTTTCTGCTCCAGAATAGATAAGTAAAAGGATTTATTGCTGGCAAAATTGGGAAACTGAATAACTTACCTCTTCTTCTGGCACTCCAAACTTGCGAAGGAGCTGTTTGGCATTTTTCAGAGATAGGCGCCGCAGATCAGCATCTGTTCCTGTCACGGTCTTCTTCACAGGTTGGGGTTGGTTGTCATCCTGAAAATTTGAGTCGAAACTTGGTTCGCTAGATTTTTTTTTATTTAAAGAGACAACTTACTTCAACTTACAAGGGCAGAGACATGTGTAAGGTCACCATTTAGTTTCCACAGGAAGCTTATAAAATTCCAAGGGAAATTTTTTGAAACTTGCAACACATTTTTGCTGTTTACAGTTTCAAATATAAAAACAGAGTTCTTGAATCCTAGAAAACTACCACTGAGCCCTTCAGCATTTAAAATCTTTAGCAAAATTAACCCTTTTTGTCGGATCAATCATTCAACTTTATCGCTACTCTTGTGTCCAGTGATAAACTGCACAGAGATTCTAACATCAACATTTAACTTGGCATTCCTTTTGCTTGTTTGTTCATGCATGTACTAAACCATAGAGATGTTGTGCTTCGAAATCTTTACTGATGCCCAGCATCTAAGACTGCCTTAATGCCAAGCAGATGCTAGCTGAAGAAACATCTCATTTTCCAAGTAGTCAAACTGTCTTCTGTCAAAATACAGAAGGTGTTCCGCACAATCTCATTATCAAGATGACTTCTTTGGCGTCACTTAACTGCAATTTGGGTGAACTGGCGTAAAATGGGGGACTATTTGTCTTTGTTGTTGCAACGGTTCCAGGAGTAGTAAGCTACTAATCACACGTGTTTTGCAACTATTAATAGTTGACCTCCAAACTGTGGACCAACAGAACTTTCCATTTTCTTTCTAGCCCAAAGGTTCTGTGTCTTTAGCGCACATTCACTATGGGGTTTATATTTTAGTGAGTAAAGTTTGAAAGTAAGAAGACAAGCATTAAATTTATAAGGTAAATTGATTTATGCTGGCTGCCAGCTTGAAGATTTGAATTAAATAGGTAACAGTCGATATAGTTTCCGGTGTTATAGTAAGATATCAAAAGTACGAGGTAATCATTCAAATTCTTACAGGGTACCTTTTGCTGCTGTGGTTTGTTGGGAACCTTGACGTAGGAAAACCCTTCACCACAGCCAGTAGGATCAGCAACCCCAGTAACCTCTAGTAGACATTTGCCTTTCATTGCGGCAATGAATGCTCGTGTGGTATTCCAGGGTGCTGTTCTGACCTATAAAAAAAGAGATTAAGAAAAATTAATGAAGCATGAACTTGGTCATGTGCGAGGACTGATAACAATTCCAGAGCTAATAGTCATAAACTCTTCCAACATGAGCAACCACCAATGAAAATTCTAGTTTGACCAAGAATCCATTGATAACCAGATTAAATCTAACAGTGGCTTTAAAGCTTTCAAATTCAAATGTTTAATAATGGAAAACAATACTTGAGGGTCAAGTGAAATTAAACTGTTTCAAAAACATCACTTCAGAATAAGAGGTAGGAGGAACTGCTGATGCTGGAGAATCTGGTAGAGCTGGATGAACACAGCAGGCCAAGCAGCATCAGAGGAGCAGGAAACCTGACATTTGGGTCTGGACCCTTCTTCAGAAATGGGGGCGGGGAAGGGGATTCTGAAATAAATACAGAGAGAGCGAGGGGAAGGTGGATGGAAGGTGGATAACGGAGCAGATAGATGGAGAGGAGACGGCTTCAGGACGTGGTCGAGCAGTTTCAGGACCGAAGAGATTACCAGAGGGTTGCAATGGGAGAGACATCCACTGAGGTCTTTCTGGAGGGAGGAGGGTAACTTCTTCAAGTTAGCATTCTCTCTCGCGTTTCCCGCAACTCATCCCTCACACCCCCTCCCCGCAATAACTACAAAAACAGAATCCCCCTCGTCCTCACGTACCACCCCACCAACCTCCGGATTCAATGCATCATCCTCCGACACTGCAATCTGACCCCACTACCAAAGACATTTTTCCCTCCCCACTCTTATCTGCCTTCCGGAGGGACCGCTCTCTCCGTGACTCCCTTGTCTGCTCCACACTCCCCGCCAGCCCCACCACCCCCAGCACTTTTCCCTGCAACCGCAGGAAGTGCTACACCTGCCCCTACACCTCCCCCCTCACCCCCATCCCAGGCCCCAAGTAAACCTTCCACATTAAACAGATGTTCACCTGCACATCTGCTAATGTGGTATACCGTACCCGCTGTTCCCGATGTGGCCTCCTCTGTATCGGGGAAACCAAGCGGAGGCTTTGTGGAGCATCTATGCTCAGTTCGCTACAAACGACTGCACCTCCCAGTCGCGAACCACTTCAACTCCCCCTCCCACTCCTTGGACGACATTTCGCTTGGGAACCCTGCAGCCCAATGGTATCAATGTGGACTTCACAAGCTTTAAAATCTCCCCACCCCCTACCTCATCCCAAAACCACCCCAGCTTGTCCCCGCCTCCTTGACCTGTCTGTCTTCCCTTGACTGACCAACCCCCATCCTAACCTCCCCACCTATACTCACCTTTACTGGCCCCATCCCCGCCTCCTGGACTATCCGTCTCCTCTCCACCTATCTACTCCTTTATCCACCTTCCATCTGCCTCCCCCCTCTCCTTATTTATTTCAGAATCGCCTTTCCCTCCCCCATTTCTGAAGAAGGGTCCAGACCCAAAACGTCAGCTTTCCTGCTCCTCTGATGCTGCTTGGCCTGTGTTCATCCAGCTCTACACCTTGTTACTTCAGAATAGGAGGTTGCCCATTTAGATGGAGATGAGGAGAATTTTGTCTCTCAGAGCTGCGAATGTTTGGGATTCTTTACCACAGTGAGTTGTGGAAACTGAGTCAAATACATTCAAGGCTGAGGGAAACAGATACTTAAACTTTAGGTGAGCGAAAGATTATAGTAGGTCAACCAAGACACTATTGAATGGCAAATCAAGGTCAAGGCACAATTTGGCCTATTGTTTTGAAGATCCTTCATTTGTGATATTTTATTTGAGGACATAGGTTTTAAAGGATTGCGAAAAAAAGTAATTTTCCCCCAAGTTTTGTAGAAATACCAGGTGTGGCTTTTTAGGTAATTGAAAAGTTCATGAAAGGTAAAATTGATATTGGTGATTTTTAACAAGGGTTTCTAGAATTCACATGCCTGGTGACAACTATCCTATTGTAGTCCCCTGTTGGGCTGTTTGGACAGTAACTGGATAGACAGTACTTTGATATCTGAATCAGTTGAGCGACAAGATGCCTATAAGGAATGGATGCCCAGCTGATATCTCCTTTTCTGCAAAACCCTTTTGTTCAGTTCAGTGTGAGGCATATTTCTTCTTCTGAAAGTATGACTGAAACAACTTCTCAACATCGTATTTCCTTAGCAAGCTGTGGCTTTCAAGACTCCTGAGACAAACCACAAATGCAGAGATTTCACCTCTCAGACCAGACCATCACAGCACTACACTTTGAAAAACTGTACTTGTTATCCTTTACACCTTGAAGCAAACTCTAAATGCCACAAAACCTTTTCTTGTTTTGTTTATAAAGGGGATTTATTGAAGAGAAAAATCCATTTTAATTTTCTTTTCCTCAAGTGTGTTTGCACGTTGTTTTTTTCATTATGCAATATTTAGAGGAAAAACATTTATATTGCGATAGGACTAACAGTGTATGCTTACCCAATGAAGATGCAAGAATTAGTAAGTTCTGTTTTGATAATAAAACATGAATTTTGTGCTCATAAAGAAACATGACTGCCAGATCCTTTCACTTCAAACCTGCTACAGGCAAGGTATTTCATTGATCATCTCAGAAACAGGGGAAAATATTTTATGATGTGACCTGTGGAGTAGTGAGACCACTAACAGTACACTCCCTTCTGAAGAAGAGTCATTGGACCTGAAACATTAACTCTGCTTTCTCACCAGAGACACTGCCAGACCTGCTGAGTTTTTCCAGCAATTTCCATTTTGTGTTTCTGATCTCCAGAATCCACAGAATTTTTGTTTTTTTTTGTTCAGTGCACTCCTCCAGCCTTTGTCACTGCACAATTCATGCTCCTATCTCTTTTGCTCTTGTACACACTGACATGAGAAGAATAATAAGTTTTCACTTAGGATAAAAGAGAAAATTTCCATCTTATCACCTCATCATCGATCTTCATCTGAAATTCTTCTTCATTCTCCTCCTCTGGTGCAAAGAATGATTTTTCACCATACCCAGCATCCTGCAAGTAGTGAAAATAAGTCATTTTGCACTGCTGAAACATCAAATCCTAATGACAACTATCTTCATAGGTACAATCTAATGGCTACTTCCAAACAGAAATCTGTGTTAAAACTAACATCAAGAACCCTTTCATTGAAGTAAAGTGCTGTGTCTGGGTGACCTGGCCTATACATGTCAAAACTTATGTTACAGCTAACTGAAATTCAGTTATGAAGGAAATGTAAGCATTCCTAAAAAAATAAAACCCATCTCACTCAAATCAGCGTACATCCCATTTAGCTGTACCAACATGACTAGAAGCAGTGTGTGTAAGTAGCAAAGATCTTCAGTCCATTTGAATCACAGCAAATTGTGCAGATCCATCACTGTGTCTAGTAGGTGGAAAGTAAAATATAATTGTACCAGATTTAAAATTTTCTTAATGTAAACAAATTGCAAACAACCTGAATATGTGTTTGTAGAATAAATTAGTCTCAAAAATGCTGACTTCAACCAGTTGCAAGTCTTTTTAGTATCTAACTTATATCATGCAATAAACATCTCCAATAAGACCATCCATCCATCTTTGACAATTAATGACATTATTATCGCTGAACTGAATCACACAATCAACATCCTGGTGCTTACCAGAAACAGAAATGAGCTGGCTATATGGATACCATGGCTGCAAGAACAAGCTAGAAGGTGAAAATTTAGGTGAGTTACACACTTCCCGATTCCCTAAAACATGTCCACCACGTAAAAGGCACAAGTCAGGAGGGTGATGGAGTATTTGCCATTTGCTGGGTGAGTACAGCTCTAATGAAAATCAAGAAGCTTAATACCATCGAAAGCCACCATTCGATTGCCATACACCATCCAAAACCCTAAAAATGTTCACTCCCTCCACCACTGACATTGCAAGATGCACTGCTGCAAATCACTAAGGCGTCTTTGAAGGCGCCTTCCAAATCCCAACCCATACCATTTAGAAGGACAAGGCCAGCAAACGCATGGGAACACCATTATCAGCAAACTCCCTTTCAATCCAAGCATCATCCTTACTTGGAACTATATTGTAGTGCCAACAGCGCCATTCAAATTCCTTTCTAACACCACTCTAAGTATGGCTACACATCACGGACCACAAAGGTTCAAGAAGTTGGCTTACCACCACCTTCTCAAGGGCATTTAGGGACAGATGAAAAATGCTGACCTTGCTAGCAATGCTCACATCCCATGAAAGAAGAAAAAAAAAACTTTCCTGTTAAACTGCCTTTCAAGATGAACTGATACAAAAGCTGGGTCTAAGGCCAGAAAATGAAATAACAAAGACTAGATTCCAGCCAAATGAATCAAACTACTTCAGTAACGTTAAATTTTGCAATGACAAATCCACAGCTGAATCATAGATTTCTGTGCTGTTGCAACGTCAAACACTCATTAAGCTTGAGCACAAACCAGGACTGGAATATTCAGCTTGGCACAAATCCTCAACACATCACCTTAACACACACAGCTTTCAGCATTGTTCAATTAAAATGGTGATTTGGACACCAACCCAGACATCAAACAGAAGGACCAGTTTTCAATAAATCCAGAAACCCAACGCATATATCCAATCTCAATTCCAAAAATCAGAATTTGCTCAAAATGCAGCCCTCATAGCAGTTGGTCCTCCAAATAGAATGAATGTTTTTTGAAGTATTAGAGACAGAGTTTGTTTGACAGAAGACAGAGGGTGGTGGTTGATGGGAAATGTTCATCCTGGAGTTCAGTTACTAGTGGTGTACCTCAAGGATCTGTTTTGGGGCCACTGCTGTTTGTCATTTTTATAAATGACCTGGATGAGGGCGTAGAAGGATGGGTTAGTAAATTTGCCGATGACACCAAAGTCGGTAGAGTTGTGGATAGTGCGGAAGGATGTTGCAGGTTACAGAGGGACATAGATAAGCTGCAGAGCTGGGCTGAGAGGTGACAAATGGAGTTTAATGTGGAAAAGTGTGAGGTGATTCACTTTGGAAGGAGTAACAGGAATACAGAGTACTGGGCTAATGGTAAGATTCTTGGTAGTGTGGATGAGCAGAGAGATCTTGGTGTCCATGTGCACAGATCACTGAAAGTTGCCACCCAGGTTGATAGCATTGTTAAGAAGGCATACGGTGCGTTAGGTTTTATTGGTAGAGGGATTGAGTTTCGGAGCCATGAGGTCATGTTGCAGCTGTACAAAACTCTGGTGCGGCCGCACTTGGAGTATTGCGTACAGTTCTGGTCACCGCATTATAGGAAGGATGTGGAAGCATTGGAAAGGGTGCAGAGGAGATTTACCAGGATGTTGCCTGGTATGGAGGGAAGGTCTTATGAGGAAAGGTTGAGGGACTTGAGGCTGTTTTCGTTAGAGAGAAGAAGGTTAAGAGGTGACTTAATAGAGACATACAAGATGATTAGAGGATTAGATAGGGTGGACAGTGGGAGCCTTTTTCCTCGGATGGTGATGGCTAGCACGAGGGGACATAACTTTAAATTGAGGGGTGATAGATATAGGACAGATGTCAGAGGTAGGTTCTTTACTCAGAGTAGTAAGGGCGTGGAATGCCCTGCCTGCAAAAGTAGTAGACTCGCCAACTTTAAGGGCATTTAAATGGTCATTGGATAAACATATGGATGATAATGGAATAGTTTAGGTTAGATGGGCTTCAGATTGGTTTCACAAGGCGGCACAACATCGAGGGCCGAAGGGCCTGTACTGCGCTGTAATGTTCTATGTCCTGATTCAACACAGCAACTGGAAGTACACAAAAAGCAGGAACTTAATAAACTTAAACGTACAACAGCATGACTCAAAATTTTCCTTATATTCATTTAGGTGTAATGTTAAATGAACTAAGCCGGTGCAAACTTTCATCACTGCACAAATGGAATCTTAATACAAGTTAACGCAAGTAGTGTAAAAGGTATCATTTAATCTGCATTAAGATATTTTTGAATTTTATTCAACAAACAGTGCACAAAACCTTGCGAACACTATTAAAGTTGCACTATAATCTGGCAATGCTTAACTTTTAAAGGCACCCACACCTGGACTTTATTAAGAATATAATATTTACCTTTAAACGCTGCTCTGCCGCTAACATACTATAATATGCACAGCACTGCTCTGGAGAGACCATGGCTCGAATCTCTTCCTCTGTGGGCAATCTGAAGTCTGGTTTAAGCACCCACCAGTTTGAGTCCATTCCTTTAGAGGCAGGTTAAACAGACATAATTAGCACGCACAAGCAAAGGTGGATGTTGTATGTTTCTGTGTTGATATAACAAAGCCTTATACATCTTATATGAAGTTACAGGACACTGCAGTAATATGACAGCAAGATTCACATTTCTGAAAAATATGACAAATTTGCATTGTTTTACTGCAATAATACAACACTGAAGTCGTACAAGTGCAGTGCTCATCACTGTCCTGTAAGTATGTGCATATTAAAGCTTGTACCTGTTCGCTTGAAATCTGCACACAGTTTCAATCGTTTTCTAATGCTGCTCTCAGAGTGGGAAGGAAATGCCTTCTTTATGTCCTCCATACGAATTCTGCGTGGACGATCCTTACTTTTCCAGAAAAGGCGGTAAATAAATACCTTCAGAAAAATAAAGTGTAGTGCATATTGTACACAGAATGAGCAAATATGAGTTGAGTATGTGTGAAGATTTTTAACTGTCAATATCTTTCTAAAATTGTGGTCTGCAGTCCATATTTAACTGGAATTTACTGTGGAAATGAAGTACTGTTAATAAAATTAATTAAATAAAATAAAGTTAATAAATTTCTTCCACGATTAAACAGGAATAAACAAACTCTATTGGTGAAACAGCTGATAAATTCATCAGCTGACCAATTCAATTTAGCTTCTGCAGCTTTGACTTCAAAGAGACTAGCTGCAGCTAGCATTTGGAAGTCTGATTATAAGCAAGGTGAAAAAATATGAGTTGGTGAGTGGGAAGTTTCATGAGATGGAGAAAAGAAAGATTTTCTTTTTCAACCTCCAGTATTTGGTTCTTCCTTTGGTGCAGCAACACGAGTTGGTTAGCAAGGGGAACTGAACGATTGAACATATGGTGACAGAACTGAGGTAGGATGGAAGGCAGCAGATTTCTGAGGCATTGAAAGCATTGTTGGAGTAGATGGGACCTACAAGACGAACATACTGCATCTTAAAAGCACAGGAACTAACGTCCCCTCGGAAAGATTTGCTATTTCCTCTAGCTAAGGTCTAAACTAGATTGGATTGGGGATGGGGGACTGACAGAAATCTCAGAGAGAAAAAACTGGTAATAGAAAATAAAAAAAGGTAATTGAAATCAAAAGACAATTGAAACAAAGACAAGCAAGACATAGGAAAAGAATGCAGAGTCATATTTAAAAGGCAGAATTAAAGGCACTCCATCTGAATACATGCAGCATTTGCACAGGGTTGATAATTTGAAGGCACAAGTTGAGGCACCTGGATGTCTGCCATTACAGAAACATGGCTACAGCATTATCAAGCTTCAGAACTGAATATTCAAGGATATTCAAGCAAAAATTGCTGAAAAAGTAAAAAGAGGTGGGACAGTGTTCTTAATGTGGGATCAGATCAATACATTAATGAGCGAGGACTTTAGATTGAAGGATAAAGACACAGAAGTAGTTTGAATAGAATTATGAAGCGAGGGGCAGAAAACATTGGTGGGAGATGTTTACAGGCCACCAAACTTTAGTGGTGATTTTGGGTACAGTAAAATCTGGAAATTAAAGATGAACGTGTCATACAACAATAATAGATTTCAATTTACATTTAGACTGGGTAAACCTAATCGGTAGTAATGCTATGAAAGATGAATTCATGATGTGTTTACAAGATGAGTTTCTGCAGCATTACATTGAAAACCAGCTAAACATTATATATTTAAAACAAAATCTAAAATAGCACAGTGAGAAAGGGTGTTGGTATAGTGGTAATACCTACTAATACAGAACCCTAGGCTAAAACTGTGAAGACATGAGCTTCAATCTCACAATAAAAACCAAAAGAACTGTGGATGCTGTACATCAGGAACAAAAACAGAAGTTGCTGGAAAAGCTCAGCAGGTCTGGCAGCATCTGTAAAGAAAAGATCAGAGTTAAGTTTTCGGGTCTGGTGACCCTTCCTCAGAATTGTTCTGACCCGAAACATTAACTCTGATCTTTTTCTTCACAAATGCTGCCAGACCTGCTGAGCTTTTCCAGCAACTTCTGTTTTTGCTTCAATCTCATCATGGGAAATGGTGAAATGTGAGTTTAGCATAAATCTGCAATAAGAAGTTAGCCTGATGGCAATCATATAACCACTTCGATGGTTGTTGAAAACCGGTCTGGTTCACTAATGCCCTTTACAGAATCTACCATCCCTACTTAAGCAGGCCTACATTTGACTCCAGATTCTCAGCAATATAAAAACAAAGTACCACAGATGTTGGAGATCTGAAACAGAAGCAAACTGGAGAACTCAGTGGGTCTAGCAGCATCTATGGTGAGGAAAACATATATGACTTTTCTGTGGAACTCTTTAGTTCTATGCAGTAACAATTCTGTGGTGATGTGTTCCTGGATTTTCAGCAGGTATTTGGTAAGGTTCCACACTGGAGGTTAGTAAACAAAAATTAGAGTACACAAGATTTGTCGTTCTCTACTATTGTGGTTTGAGAATTGGTTAACAACTGAAAGCAAATTAGGAATAAACCACTCATTCTTAGAATGGAAGGCTGTTACTTGTGAGGTACCACAAGGATCAATGCTAGGGCACAGCTGTTTAGAATGCATACATATGTATGATTTGGATGTGGAGACTAATTGTGATATTTCGAAATTTGTTGATGACACCAAACTAAGTGGGTTTGCAAACTGAGAGAAAGATGCAAGGAGGCTTCAAACAGATTTTAATAGGCTAAGTGAATGGACAAGAACATGCAAATGGAATACCTTGCAGACTTTTCTAAACACTTTTCAAAATACTTTGATACTTTGATAGAAAAAAACTGAAAGACATTATTTATTAAAAAGGTCCAAAGAGACCTGGTACTTGGTCATGAGCAGTAAAAGCTTGTATGTAGGTGCAGCAAGCAATTAAGAAGGCAAATGGTTATTGGCCTTCATTTCAAGGGGATTTCAGCATAGAAGTAAAGATGCCTTGTTAGAGTTATATAGAGCCTTGATGAGACCACACCTGGAGTACTGTGTACAGTTTGGGTTCCTTATCTACGGAAGGATATACTTGCCATAGGTGGTGTGCAACAGAGGTTCACCAGAATAATCCCTGCGGTAGCAGGACTGTTTCATGAATAAAGAGTAAGTAAACTGGATCTTTATGGTCCAGAATTCTGAAGAATGAGAGATAATGTTATTGAAACCTACAAAATTTTCACAGGGCATGACAGGATAGATGTGAATAGGATGATTCCCCTGGCTGGGGAGTCAAGAACCACAGGATATCATCTCAGAGTAAGGCACAGGTCATTTAAGGCCGAGATGAAGAGAAATTCTTTCACTCAAGAGGGTGGTGAATCTTTGGAATGTTCTATCCCAGACAGATGTGGAAGCTCGATAATTAAGCAGGTTCAAGACAGAAATCAATAGATTTCTGGAGACATGTAACATCAAGGAATATGGAGATAGTGTAATAGAGTGGCATTAAAGTAGATAATCAGCCATGATTTAATTAAATGGTAGAGACTACTCCTGTTTCTACAGTTCTAACAAGGACATAGATATCAAACTGAATAAAGCGTGTTAATTTAAAATTAACCTAGCCATTAATAGTACACATACCTGAAGAAAGTCTCGTACATGTGTGTTAGCACGCTTTGAGTTTGGACCAGGCACTTCATAGAGTGGACACTGCTGGCCTACAACAAAAATATCAACCAATTCTCTGATATGGTATGCTTGACGAGTTCGGATTATCAGAAAATCTGTTTCTGGCATCTTATGGAGGTATATTGGACAGCGAAAGAGGTTGTTTTCAAATGCCTGTTAAAAAAGGAAACACTTCAACAAAAGCTCAAATTTTTTCTTCTATTTAGATTTCAGAGACTTTTCTTCTTAAGACTTGTTTAATTTGAAGCCAAAATAAAAAGCATCAAAATACAGGATGTCTTCAAGGTTAAACGAAGAAAACAGACAGAGATAAGTCAGGTAGTCAAGGTACCAGATTTAAGATTTTAAAAACATTTTACAGCAGGGAAACTTGCAATAACAACGGATTGCAACTGTTCAAGGAAACAACTCATTATCATCTTCTCAATGGCAACTACGGTAGTCAATAACACCCACATCCCATGGAGGAAGAAACAAGTGTTAAAGAGTTCACAGAATTATTCTAAAGTGCAGGCATGTCATTCGGAACTAGGACTTATGTAAAACTAAAGCCTGGTTATGCACAACATTAAAGAAAGCAAGGTTTAGAGGGACAGTGTCTCACAACTCCTTCACTTTGGTGACATCATATTCATCTTATAAAAGGATGAACAAATGAGAAAAACATAGATATTAAAAGCAAAGGAAACAACAAACTAAAGCCTGCATCTTTTGTCCCTTCAGAGTGATTATTTTATTTCAAACATTAACATTTACTGCATCATTGAAAACAATTCTGCCTTCCTGATCATTGACCCTTTCTGTTTTAATGTAGGTTTCATCTATTCACTGCTCTTCCCAGTTTTCAAATTTTTTTCCTAAAGCCTTTTTTACTTAATATAGAAAAACCGCTGATTTGACCAATTTGCATTGAATTTGGACAGATATATTAACCAAAAGGAATTAACTAACTTCTTCCTAATACACAGAACTGCAGCACAGGCAGTTTTTCCCAAATCCTCCACTTAATTCCTTAAAAAGCGGCTTCCAAATTTAGATGTACACCCTGTCAATGAAAATAGACTAATAGGAAAGACTGTCAGCACTGACCTGTCTATATAACTGGAGGTAAACCTATGTGCTAAAAACTGATGATAAAGAAAAAGTTTTAAAAAACTATCAGTATGCTTCCACATTGTCAGGTCTTCTTTTATGTGCCTGCCTACTTCCATAACATGGGTCCTACCTGCAATAACTGTCCTGGATGCAAGGATCCAAGGAATGGAGATGTGTGGCAATAAACAGTCTCGCCATATTTACAATCCGGTGCGCCGGGATCCTTGCCTGGTTTCTGTAATAGAATATTTGAAGACTAAATGAATGACACTTGCCCCTAGACGCATGATTTCAAACTCACAAATATTTAAACATGAATTGAAGTATAAGCTGTCACATTTAATCAAGGATCAGCTTGCTATACACTGGTTTGTATCAAGGTTATTTGTCCATTGTACAATTGATCAGCTTAATACTTAATTGTAGTCCTAAAAATCTTTACTATAAAATATTTGTTTAAAATAAGTTTAACTCACCCTCTTGTAGTAGTTTTTGATTTTGGTTGCCATGCCAACTTGCATCATAAGCGGTGGATATTCTTCACTGTACTCAGCGAGAATAAGGTCACCATCTTTACCTGTCAGATCCTGAGGAGTTCGCATAAAGAACATCTCTCCACCACCAGAAGCTTGACGTTCCTGTTCACGCATCTAAGAATTAAAATATATGTATGTCATCACCTAATCGACTCTATACAACAGGCATAGTACTGTACAAATACCCAAAATATACAAGAGCACAGTATTGTGTAGGATGTTAAAAAAAAACTGAAGACATTTCTGCCAATGAATTAATACTACAAGCTCCTTTCACCAGCTATTGTTGGCTCCTGATACCTCTTCCATCAAAAAGTCAGACTAATTGCATCGTTGGCATGATGTATGTGTTTATTCCTCAACATACCTAACAATAAATATCCATCCAAACATGAGAAATCTTGTGGGTTAAGGAAGCATTCCATGGCGTAATTGTGAAATTTACTACATTCATCAACTCAAATTTCACCCCTGTACAATTCTCAGCACTACAATTTATGAAGATTCAGAAAGGATTTACAAAAGGCTGAGGGATGAGGGACTTCGATTACATGGATAGGTTGTAAAAGCTAAGTTTTTATGCCTCAGAGAAAGTCGAAAAGAGATTTTATATAGGTATTCAAATGAGGTGGCGTCTGGACACTGTAGAAAAAGAGAAAAAATCCTCTGATTGGCAGAATAACTGACAACCGGATTAACAAAAAAAAATGAAGGATAAACATACCAAAGAAGGAATGAGGAAAAAAAAAATTTAGGCTGCAAATGGTTAGATTTTGTAACGCATAGATTGTGGTATCAGCAGATTGGATCTCAGTTGTCAAAACAGACTAGATAATTCACTGAAACAAAAATAAACTGCAGCATGCTGGTGAAAGTGAGAGGGCTTGGGACTACCTGAATTGCTCCTGCAGAGAAATCCACTGACTCAACTGGAAACAAAATGGCCCTGTTTTACACTGTAACCATCCCACGATTCTACTGAAAGACAGCCAAGGGTGGTCGGCTGGAACAAGATCAATAAATGAGCAATACTACAAGATAGGACACGAGTGGCAGAGTTTTGCTAATGTTAAAATTTGTGTATGATCAATCTTTGCAAAATTTTGGTTGGAGAGATCGAGTTTTCAGGCAGTAAAGGTATAGATGAATAATTCAGGAGCAGAGGCACTCAAGTAAGAATATTGATCGGTGATGGTAGAATATAGATAGGATACATATTTCTAGTTCAGTTAAACTTCAAACAACACACCAATGTTCCTCCATCACTGGAATGAGTTTGAATAAAAAGCTAAGGATTGATCTAGAATTGAAGGCAGCCCCATGTAGCTTCCAATCAAGAACAGAGTGGCTTCAGTTTTACCAGCATTAAACTGGAACAAAGTTCTTGCTTATCCACCACTTGATATCAGATAAGCATTCAAAGGATATCAAAGTCAAAATTGAGAAATGAAAGATAAAATTAGCCATAACGTATAAAATTACAGATGGGTGTCATGACGGCAAGGAATAAAGAGCATGCCAGAAGTAACCATGACAGAGGACAGAGAGAGAGGTAATTTCAGGCCGTGTTCTGGCTACATTAGGACAGGTATGAGTAGAGCCAGCAAACTGCAATCTCTAAAAAGTGGATCACAGAAGAACACAGACGCTGAACAGCTATCTGCACTCACAGAAATGAAGACATCATAAGTCCAGCCGAGACCAGACTTGGGTCGAAACAGACAAGCAGAGGAGGACTAGAGAACTTTTAGAATTCTCTTAACTCTTCAATATGATCCTGGAGTAGATCTGGCTGCTGAGAAAGGAGATGATATTTTAATTGACTAGCTGAACTAGTCAAACCTGACTGTGGCATGTGCTTAAACCTGCAATTTTTGTGTGAGCATGCAGAGGTGGGAATTGCACAAAGCAGTTGGTATGGATTACAAAATTAAAAGATGAAGCCAAGAAAGCTACTGAGCTAGAATTAAAATATCTCTGGAACAAAAACAAAGATGCTGGAAAAGCTCAGCAGGTCTGGCAGCATCCGTGAAGTAAAAAACAGAGTTAACGTTTCGGATCCGGTGACCCTTCCTCAGGATATCTCTGGAGTTGAGAAGTAACTGGGAAAAAGTTGAAGGTTAGAAAGGTGCAGGCGCAGTAGTTACATTCAAGCAAGACAAGGGCAAGTACCTGTACATGTCTCAGAAGATGTCTTTTGACTATTGATAATCTAATAAATAGTCAAAACCTCAGGCTTGGAAAGATATGATAGTCATTGCAGTATGACAATGAGTGGGAACTAGATATTGCAAGTTGAAATAACAAAACATGAATTCACTTTGCAAAGCTGCCAAAACAATAGAAAAGTAGATTTTCTGAAGAAGGGTCTCGACCCGAAACGTCAGCTTTCCTGCTCCTCTGATGCTGCTTGGCCTGCTGTGTTCATCCAGCTCTACACCGTGTTATCTCGGATTCTCCATCATCAGCAGTTCCTACTATCTCAGAAAAGTAGAACTCTATTGTTTACTGCCCTTCGATTCTCAAGTGAGAATTTAGAAGGACAGAATGTGGTAGTGCAAGACGGAGAGACTTGAATGAAGGAAGCAAGCAGAAATGCTAGAATTGGTGGAGATACAAAACAGAGATGAGAATTACATCATTGTCCTGGCAGTTTGGCCAAAGAATACAAAGAAACCAGAAGATGAACATAACAGATTCAATGGGAGGAAAACAGTCAACATCAGTCGATCAGATTTCAATCAGGCAGAGTTATCAACAGATTCTCTGAAAAGTGGATGATAGAGAAGTTCTTGATTACAAGGCAAAGACATTTGGTTGGTAGGGTAATCTGAACTGATTTGCTGTTGGAGGGGCAAAGGTCTGAAGTGAACAGCAGCTGGAGCATGCACGGAATGGAATTCCTGTTAGTATTTGGGATTGAGCAGTTGCTATTGCTGCTCCAATAAAACCATGAGTACTAAAACTGACATGGCAGTAAATACCTAATTTGGAGCAGAAGAAAGTCGTAGGCTCACCCAGCAGATACCTCAGCTTGGGCTGTGAGCAAGAAATGAATGGATTCAACGACTGAGGGAAATATTACACAAAGTGTTATTATTAGTGATGATGTGGTAAGAAAGAAGGGAACAGAAAGAAGTCCCTGAAACCAACAGAGAAAGGATAGATGGGAGACAAAGTCAAGGAGAACAACTAAACGGAACTGCTGGGGACAAACACAGAGAATGCTGAGAAATCACCTCTGGAGAATTTTCAAACCAGACTCCAAATGTTAAATTTTTCTTTCATCACAAATGCCACCAAACCTGCTGAGTTTCTCCAGCATTGTCTGCGTTTGTTTCAGATTTCCAGAATTGGATTACAAGAAATAGGTACAGGAGTAGGTTGATTAGCCCCTCACGCCTGCTCTGACATCAACAGGATCATAGCTAATCTGACATTTCTCATGTCCACATTCCTGCATTTTCCCCATAACCCTTGATTTCTCTATCGAGCAGGAATCTCTCTATTGCAGCCTTCAATATATCCAAGGATTCTGCTCCCACAGCTCTCTGTAGCAGGGAGTTCCAAAGTCTCTCAACCCTCACAGAAGAAATTCCTCCTCATCTCAGTCTTTAAGTAGTGGCTATTTATCCTGAGACTATGCCCTCTGCTCTTAGACTCTTGAGGGGAAACGTCCTCTTAGGACTTGCCCTGTCAAGTCACTTAAGAATTCTATATGTTTCAATGTGATCGCCTCTTACTCTTCTGAACTCCAATGTGTTGAGTACCAACGTGTTTAGGCTTTATTCCTAAGATAATCCCTCCATACTGGGGATCATCCAAGTGAACCTTCACTGAACTGCCTTCAATGAAATTATATCTTTCCTTAAATAAGGGGACCAAAACTGTTCACAGTTTTTAAACGTGGTTTCATTTTGTACAGTTGCAGTACGAGTTGCCTACACTCGTACATCAAACCCCTTGAAATAAGGGCCATTATTCCATGAGCCTTCCCAATTACCAGTGTGCTAGCCTTCTGCGTTCCATGCATAAGTACTCTGACATCCTTTTGTGTTACACCCTTTTCAAGTTTGTGTCTGTTTAAATAATACATTGTTCTTCTGTTCTACCTCCAAAATGAACATCTTCACATTTTCCTACATTATACTTCATTTGCCAACTTATTGCCCATTTACTTAACCAATCAATACCTCTCTGTAAAGTATTTGCATTCCTCTTGTAATGTGTCTTTCCACATGTCTGTACCTGCAGTATTTTGCCTTTATAAAACATGTAGGGGAACTTGTATCCAGAACTGCAATGAATATGTGTGCAAATAGATGGAGAACCAATCTTAACATATGTTCTCAACAGGAGACCATGAGGAGGTTTTAAGGACATTGATTACATTTTCAAATTGCTCGTAATATGATTTAATGTTGATTTTCTTATCACTTTATATATAATGATGACTGGGAATACTGATTATCTTTCTTGAACAACTGAAGGATTTAGCAGAGTTACAACCCTGTCAAGGACAAAGATTCACTCTCATTTTGGTATACGTTTGGAGGCATTTGTTCAGAGACAGCCAGCTGCCATAGTGAATGAAGGATGGTGTATTGCTGGTCCAGCCACTGCTCTGTTTTTCAGCACTTCATAATACTGAGATGTGGATTTCCAGAAGTAGTGAATGTTGCTCTTGCAAACAGCTTGTTTGTTTCTAATGACTATTTTTGCAAAACATTGTTTGGTTTTGAAATGCTAGTTCAATGACCAATTAAGAATTTGCTAGTCAGTTCTTGTAATGCTGTAATGGGCTTCCTAGAACTAAATACAGTTGCACAGGTGAATTGACTTCAGGCAGTCAGTCATTCTGACAGACAGCAGAAGGGTGCTCTTGTGGTGCAACGGTATTATTCCCTACCTCTGGACCAACAGATTCCAGTTTAAGTCCCACCTGCTTCAGAGTTGTCTAATACATCTCTGCATAGGTTGATTAGATAAATAGGTGACAGACATTATAAGGGCTATTGTAGCACAGTGGTGGTGTCCCTACCTCTGAGTGAGAAGACCTGTGGTCAAGACCCACCTACTGCTGAGCTGTGTAATAACATCCCTGCACAGGTTGATTAGAAAATACCGGCAGACATGAGAGTGGAATCCATTTGCTACCTAGGGTTGCAGTTGAAGTAAAAATCTGTTTCACCTGAAATAATGGCACTACATTTCTGGACACCAGGAACACTGGTTTATGATTGTATGAGCAACAAATATGCCTCAACTGACCAATCCTGCTTTTGTATCATCCAGTTAATTTACAACAAAATTCAAATTGAACAATTCAACTGGTTTGGTGTTTCAGCAAGATTTCAAAGGCAAAAAGCAGGACTCCACTTTAAGACTGAGACACTGCAAATAATGGATACTTAATTACTTGTCTAATTAGTAAAGATGATTTGATAGTCATGTGGAAGCCACTGACCATTTTAACATTGTATGTTACTTATTCACATAACTTCCCTATTTATCATAGCAGCGATGGTACTTATACATTTACAAATAACAAAAGAATTCATTTGAAACTAGTTGCTTGCTTTCCACGTCTTCAGTGAATAAATGCAATAATTCAGAATCCTGCAAAAGACAGCAAAAACATTTGTTTCTAACAGATGTACAAGACAAATTTGTGAAACCATAAAGATCCTGAATACATTTAAATGTTGGTAATAGATCAATTCATCCTGCTCAATGTATTTGCCAAAGTTAACCAAGTCTTAGCATAAATCATATAATATTTGGAAATAAACTCTCTTAAAAGAACTATTCCTGAGTGGAGAACCCCAGAAGCAACAAGACTGACAACAAGAATTACAATAACTAAATATACACTATGCATGACTAAAGGAGATCTTTACCTTGGCTTTTTTCTTGATATGTTTCAGCAGTGGGTACACAGAATGAGGTCCTGGCTGTGACAACGCTCCAAAAGAATATTTCTTCAGTGTTGGCCGGTGGAATTGCCTGAGTTTCATTGGTCCCATATGAGTTGGGAAAAATGGCTGTCGAAGTTCCACAGCAGGAATAGAATGCTGCAACAGAAACATTGTTCAGTCAATGTGGCTAAAAATAAACACAGTTCAAAGTTACACTCAACACACAGCACCCAGCAATAACAGACTGACATAGAAATAAAATAGCTCTGAAAAATACCAATCATCAATGTCTATCTGTTCTTTCTAAAAGGTAAAGATTCCTAATTAGGCAGGTCTTAGGTACTTACCTCCCATTTCAAGCAGCTACTACATATTTCTCTCCAAGATCCTTGCTTCATCTTTTATTTCCACTATCACAGGGATACTTATGGAAATAAAGAATGAAATGAAGACAGTGCCTCTCAAATACTGCATTAAGCAACCTTTCATGTTCAGTGTTTTAATCTTCACTCAGTTCCCCTTGATCTCTGCTGTATTCATCGCTCATCTGCATTCCCCAAACCTCTCCCTCCACAAGAACTCCGGCACTTGTGCACAGCCACCTCCCCAACCTCACCATTCTGAATTTTTGCAGAGAAAGCCAGTTCTGATGACACAAATTTAACGACTCGTTTCCAACACCATCACCTGTTCGTTTTGATGATGATTCGTGCTGGACTCGAAACATCAACTCTGTTTCTCTCTCCACAGGTGTTGTCTGTGGAGAAACTGTGTTTCTCAGCAGTTATATTTCGGATTTCCATAAATCACAATATTTTGCTTTTTCCTGCCATCTTCTTCATAAACCCTGGGAAGATTTTCCCTAATTCACTTAAAACTGACATTTTCAATATTTCAACTGCTCAACCTTTAGCATATCATTGGCTACAGAACTTCTGGAAGCACTGATCTGCAGATCCCTTCTCTTAATCTCCACCAAAATGAACTTGTCTGAAGCAAACTTTCCTCTCAGCAGGGGCTTCACATTTGCTCCCTCAAGTCCAAGGAGATTAAATTTGAATGTGTTTGATGTAAATCTGGTTTGACCATCCATCATTAGATCTAACTGGGACCCATAAACTAGATTTCACTCTTTTCACTGAAACACTCCACTACTCCAGAGTCATTGGAAGTAAAAATAATATCCAGCACTTCTTTTGGCTCGACAGCTCTCGCCTCCGTTCTTCCATATCTCCTTCACCCTAACCACCAGCATTCATGGATATCGTCGTCACCAGACTCAGACCATTCATTTGGCTGTCTTTGCCACATTCTTCTCTGATTCACTCTGTCTTTGCAAATTGATGCCTCATCTCTGATGTCTCTTTCTTCCTCAAATAGCCTTGAGAAATGTCCCACATCTGCAGACGTCATTCCCACAACTCATTAACTGAATCTCTGCAATCAGATTTCCATCTGTCACAACATCATTACTTCCAAAGAGTCCTCAAGGATCCAGCCACTTCTTTCTCAACTACATTTGTCGTTAGGCAATCCTGAGATATGGGGCCAGCTTCCAACTCTACGTACATGATTCCCACATTAATCATTTCTCTCAATTTTGTGTTCAAATTCCTCTTATTGCTGTAATCTTTTCAATCCCAAAAACCACCAATGACTACTCAGTCTCCCACCATGGAACTCTAATAATTTGTGATAAATGCTGTAATTTGCTGAGGTCCCGTTCTAGAATTCCCTTCTAAAGCCCTCAGCACTCCTTAAAACTAACTTGTTTGACAAAACATTAGTCCCCCTTCATTGTACCTTCTTCTCTCATTCAACATTTCTTTCTTTTTGATTGTGCACATGAAACATCTTGGGACATCTTTCTATGTTAAAGGTGCTATATATATGCACATTCTTATTCTTGTTGGGTGTAAACTGACCTGTCCCAGTGCCTTAAGGGCTTCCTCCCTCTCTTCAAATGTTTTAGTTTTCCACATAGTCCCATACTATTACCCAGATATCTTGTTTGTTGGATAAACAATAATCCCACATTCTTCTTTTGTGACGCGTGATGAACTCATTTGAAGATTCTCCTTTAGCTGATCTTCTACAAACTCTTGGTCTTGAGAAAATAGAAATCATAGAAGTTACAGCACAAAAGGAGACCATTCAGTCCATTAAACCCATGTCAATGCTAGTTCTTCAACCAGAACTATCTACTCTAATCTCATTTTCCTATTCTTCTCCCATATCACATATTGTTCCTTTTTAAATACTTAGAAAATTTGCTTTTTTAAACTTCCGTGCTTCACAAGTCCATTACTGTTCGAAGTCTGAAGAAACACAAACCTGTTTTATATTTAGGGATCTCTTCCCCACAAAAATAAATATTCCTGCCTCTTTGCACATGGCTTCAGCAGTTCACAATGGGGCAATGTGTAACAATGGCAAATTTTACCTTCCCTTAAACTTCTGTCTTATGCTCCTCTCAAAACATCACATGTTCTGCAATTCATCCTTCTCAATTCCCCACTTACAGTCCTCAGTGTTTACCATTGCAGAGATTTCTTCTCATCCCTCTTCCAATGGTCTCTGGATTATGACTCTTCATCCTTGTCGATTTCAACTTGTGTAAACTGCCCTGTCTCCTCAGATTTTCTATCACCTAAATGTTCCAAGTCACATTCTCTCCATTCATCTTACTACCTTACACAACCTCTATATCTCAGAGATCTTAATCATTGATGAAGTTCTCTCACCACTTCTTCATTTCTCGTCCCACTTTCATTCCCCTACATCTCTCCACTCCCATTAGCATTACTCTGTATTTTTGGAAAAATCTCTCTTCTAGCTCTCCCACAAGTTTACTCCAAAACTCTCAATTTTCTCTTATCTTAACTTTCATATATCAGAACACCTCTGCTCCTGCTCCCGCTCCCTCGGATCTGTTTTAAATGTCTCTAACCTCGGCAAATCACTCACCATTTTCTATTCCTTCCACTTTCTCTAGTAGAGTAACTGGTTGACTACCTAGATTGAAAGGCTACAAATTCAAAGACAAAGGCACATGACTAATTTTTGATATTCATTACTCAAATTAAACTTGAATAACTCTTCTCAGTTAGGGTTATGTGATGACCTGGGGGCTTATTGCTGGACTAATAATTCAGAGACCCAAGTAATGTTCTAGGGTTCAAATCCCACCATGGTAGATGATGGAATTTGCTTTTTAATTCAACAGAATTTGGGAATTAACATTTTAATGATGACTTTGAAGTCATTGTCAACTGTCATAAACACTGATCTGGTTTACAAATTTCCTTTAAGAAAGGAAAGTGTCGTTGTTATCTGGTATAGCCTACATGCGACTCCAGACACTCAGCAATGTGGGTAATTCTTAGCCACCCTGTAAAATGGTCTAGCAAATCATTCCTAACCCTAATCCTTTCACAGCTTGTAGCTACTCCAGCAGGTCTTCACAAGGCTATGGTACAATTTTGAAAAGCATGACAAACATGCCAGTCCGTGGGAAAGCTGCAACATTCTATAGAACCAGCACGTCTAGTTCCTATACAAATTTTGAGGAACCCTTTTGTAAAATGCTAGTGGATTGCGGAGGATCTTTACTGTAAAGGAAAGTGGGGTACCAGTAATATCCTCTATCACAGCTGTGGCTCCTTGATTCCTAGAGGAATCCTTACCCTTAAGAATAAACATTGTTAAGGTTATGGTAGAAGAACCCAGTTCTTCACTCAATATGCACTGGAGGCAGTTCACAGCAAGTTTACCAGACAAGGGGTGAATTGTTTTATAAGATAAGGTTGGACTGGCTAGGCTTGTATCTGTTGGGAATTTAACTGAGTAAGAGAAGACTTGATTGGAACATACAAGATCCTTGGGGTCTTGACAGGGTAGGTTTGGAGAGATGCTTCCTCTTATGGGAGAATCTAGAATGAGGTATAAATCTTTAATTGGATCATTCATTTGGTATAGATGAGGCAAAATTTTATTTCACAGAGTCTGGAGCCTTTGGAACTCTCTTCCTCAAAAGGTGCTAGAAGCAAAGTCTTTGAATATATTTGAAGCAAAGAAATTAAGCAAGTGGATAAAAAGGTTACTGGGACAGGTGGGAATGTGGATTTGTGATTACAATCAGATCAACCATGATCTTATACAAAGACAGAGCAGGCTTGAGGGACTGAAAGGCCTACACCAGCTCGTTATTCATTTATCTTTGCAATATCTCATCTACATCAAGTTTTAAACAAATATATCAAGGGTAAATTGGCTAAGATAGATTGAGAAATTGGATTAAAAGACATAACAACGCACGAGCAACAGCAAACGTATAAATAAATATTTCATAATACTTAAAAAGTCTAAATTCCACTGAGAAATTAAAAAACTCGAAGGGAAAATGTGTGTGCAATTCAGGAGCTGAAGAATAGCATATTAAAGCATATTTATTTTGTTGCCAAAAAGAATAGGATCTTGACAAGCTGGAAAATTTTAGATAACAACAAAAGGCGACCAAAAAAAACTGGTCAGGAAAGGTAAAACTATGACGTGACTGAGGCTGGAGAAATGCACCGCTGATCCAATGCCACAATTCTATAGTTTTCAACATAAAATAAAAATAATTTTTCCAGTTATTAAAGAGACCAAATGAATACCTGACAACACAATGAGGGATGTTCAGGAGATCCATTTAGAATAAACAAAACTGTCAGCACTGAATTTACTTATTTTATCCATGGACATAAATCCAGGCAACTGAGTAAGCATGAAGAAATTCACATGTCCTATTTTAACGTACATTTTATGACTGTTTCATATTGGACACAAAAGGTTGTCTGTGGAATATCCAACTTAGACAGAAAATGGGGCAAGACTCAGAAAGCTATTTCAACAGGTGCTTTTTGAGCATCAGGTTTTAAAAAAATTGTAAGCAAGAACTAGAAGACTTTCTCTCTCCCTCCATGGTTCTTTCATCAACCCAAAAACAGCATCCGGTGATAAACAAATTGCGAAAACTGTTGACAAGGAACACAAAACCACACTTTGCCACTTTTAAGGATATGGGTCACCAATTAAACAACTTTCACCTCAAACAAGAACTCTTAGGCCTCTTAAATGCGTAGCCAATTTGGCTTTTTATCTGCACCAGGCAC